CCAAAGACTCATTCTCTGGTCGGTAGTCAACAGTACAATATCCTCGGTTCGCATGTTTTCTGGACCGTAAAAAGAAGAATCAGGTATTGCGTTACCTATTCGCGCCCTAGCTCAGCCCGGGATCCCTTGGCTTCTACCTGCAAGAAGACCACAGTCCAAGGTACTCATGTCATCGCATTATCTTCGGCCACGGGAATCCCTTGTTGCCTCTCGAGCGTCAGGGCAATGAGAGACCTCGCCGGAAATGGATTTCGGTTCCTTGGGCGTCCGGACTGGACTTGCCCGTGATGGACATGCTTCTGTCCCATTTAGTCTTTCCGTGGCCCAATGTTGTATGCCTTTTTGCAGACGACCTGGGCGGCCCGGAAGGAGCGTGAAACATGTTAGCCAGTCTGGCCTTGGCTGGGTGACGAGCACAAACAGTTCGTATCTTTCTGCGGGTCCTTGTCGTGATGGAGGCAGCAGAAGTCGGATCACGTAGCGGCCTGAAGGACGAAGACACTTTTTTGTGCAAGACGTGATGCGGGATGCCAAGGTATCCGACACTTTCTCCTCGGACTATCTACTCCACCTACCAGCAGGGACGGATCTGTACGACGAAGCACGCCACCAACATTTGCAAGAGGCCGTGCTTAAAGGTCTGGACCTCTCCCGGCGGGAACGGGCACTATGCGATGCCGTACTGTATGTCTGGGTCAGTGTTTGTCAACCCCTTTCGGTGGTTACACAGGGGATGCATGGAATATCTTTTCAATGATAATACTCTAGGCCTAGATCCAACGGTGGTGGCAGTGTGTTCAGCTTGCTCGCGGTATATTCTATCGATGCGGCTCCTGGTGCCAACAATGGATGAACCAATTACCCTGTTCATCTGAATCGCTGAAAGCCAGCGGATTACTGCCGGAGGACTCCCCAACGCCATGAAATGGTTCATGGACCAGCAACGCCTCTGTGCTCGCTTTGGAGTTGCCGACCATGGAAGGCCTGCCCGTGATCATTGTCCATCTTATGCGAGACGAAGAAGCGGGTCATACTGCACTGTGGGCTGCACAGTTTCCTAGTCGTAAAGGGCGACCAACCCAACTACGCAGAATTTCATAGATTGTTGTTGGCCTTTCACTGTTTGATTTTCAAAACAGTGGGCAGTCCCTCGATAGCTGACGCACAAGCAATATTAGATAGGCAATAGATACGCTTCGTACGTAGAAGATAGCTAATACTACTGTATTCGTATATTACTTGGTTTAGTAGAAAACCCGGTCTCCGATATGGGCCCTCAGACAACACCTTTGGATGTGCTGTATGTTTGCTTCTAGATATATATAAAATATAAAGACGGTATAAGTATATCTATGATACATATCTGTTTAGAGAGTAAACGGTGACTGAGTACATAGTTTCCGGAATTATATATTTCATCACAGCATATTCATTTGAAAATCAACTTTTGGGAGAATGTGACGTCTTGGTCAACAGTATTGTCTCTTCATTATATTAGACCACAAAATTAACGTGTCAAAACTCTGCACCAATTTACCAGCCTATGTAGTGTACCCAAATGGCAGAACAATGGATGTGCCGGTCGACAGACCCGTGTGCATATAATGAATACCGCTGATATATTTTATCAAATACCACCGTAATTTTTTTCGTACGTATGTATGAATATAAAGAGTATTTCATGGCCTGTCATTATAAGGTTTCTGAAATCTACTTGAGTACTTTACTCGCTGTGGGAGACTGAGACATCATCATTCTACCTTGCGGACTTATGCCGATAAGCATTCATGCTGTCATGACAATGCACTCAATAGCACTTTTACCTCATAGTCGCTAGTCAGACAACGGCAATGGTGGATCAATAACGCCTAGCAATGCATTGTTAAGGGAGGTGAGATCTGGTGAGGAAAACCTATTCAAAAATCATAAACAGTTGCTATTCAATCTTCCTAAATCACCCGCTACAGTATCTGACAGCATAATACATAATTTTGAAGACCAAATGTCTCATTTTATTTTTCTACCTAAGTCAAGCTTGGCGAGATCAGAAAAAAAAAAAATCAAGGAATAACAAAACCAGAATCCACTGCTTTTCGAGCCGACTTGAGATATATCATAATTCAAATTGAGCGCGGGAACGTACAAAACGAATAGAGCTGGTCAGTCAATTTGATGACACAGCATGAGCGAGAAAGTCATTCATATGGTCTCCAGGATTGATGGCAAAGACCGTCCGATTATCGCAGGTATAT